AAAGGTACAGCTGTATTTGGGCTACTACTAAGTACCCTGAATCGGACCTACCTTAGTGATGTCCTCAAGGTCTATGTTGGGCCGGGTTTGGGGGCTTTGACAAGGGTCCTTAAGGCGCGAGGGTTTAGGGTTTAGGGTTTAGGGTTTAGGGTTTAGGGTTTAGGGCCCAGTGTGTAACTCGAGGTTCCCTGACACTCCCTCGCTCCTGCCTTTGCAAGGCTCCCTTGATTTCCTTAAGGTCTCCCTGGTACCTGCCCCACATGAAACCCCTCCTGACTGACCCCATAAGTCTGGGTAGGGTGTAGGATTTCGGGGTTTAGGGTTTTTAGGCTAAGCGTCTCTTATAGCAAAGGTATGCCCCAGAGCTAGAATAGGGGGTACTATAATCCCTTTTCAGGACTGCTCGTAGAAGGGGGAACATCCCAACCCTAAACCCTAAACCCTAAACCCTAAATCCTAAAACCCTAAACCCTAAACCCTAAACCGTCCGCGCAGCCTCGCCTCTCCTGGCCACCAGGGGAGCAACGCGAGCGCGCCTCGAGGATGCGTTCGGCTGCAAGCTTCTAGACTAAGGGTTTAGGGTTTAGGGTTTAGGGTTTAGGGTTTAGGGTTTAGGGTTTAGGGTTTAGGGTTTAGGGTTTAGGGTTTAGGGTTTAGGGTTTAGGGTTTTGAGTTTAGGGTTTAGGGTTTCGACTACAGGGTCCAGGGTTTATGGCTGATAAGCCTGTGGGCTTATAAGGTTTAAGGGTTTAGGGCTCATAGGGCTTAGGGTTTATGGGGTTCAGGGTCAGCACGACCAGGCTACAAAACCTCTAAGCCCTAAGCCGTAAGCCCTAAGCCCTATAAGCCCTATAAGCCCTATAAGCCCTATAAGCCCTATAAGCCCTATAAGCCCTATAAGCCCTATAAGCCCTATAAGCCCTATAAGCCCTATAAGCCCTATAAGCCCTATAAGCCCTATAAGCCCTACAAGCCCTATAAGCCCTAAGCCCTATAAGCCCTATAAGCCCTAAGCCCTACAAGCCCTGAGCCCTAAACCGAACAAATCTCAAATCCCCCCCACTCGGTTACACGATGCCTCGTTCGCCTCCCCGCCATTCGCAGTCTCCGACAGAGAGGGTGGCGCCCGTGACCTTGAGAACCCTAAACCCTAAACCCAAAACCCAGAATCCTGAACCATAAACCCTACAGCGGGAGTATTGCTTAAGAATTCCTTGCTTAAGAACTTGAGGGGCTGAAATTTCTTACCCTCGCACATTCTGAACCAACGCTCGCACTGTAAACCCTAAACCCCAAATCCTAAACCCTGAAACGAGCTTTGTTACAGGGATTACGGCGGGCAACGAAAAAATGGCGATCCACGCTTTCTTCCACCACCCGACATGCGAGAAAGGATATTGGAATTCTAGCTGTATCTTAGGCAGTAGAAGAACACAAAAACACAAGATATTCCCCAAGTATCCCTAAGAGAAGCCCTTAACCCCAAACCCGAGTAGCGCTGGGCTTCCCTAAACCCTAAACCCTAAACCCGAAACCCTAAACCGTGAGGATCACGGTGTGTTTCGGGTCGCAAGCAGGTTTGTAGGGTCTATATTCGGACTTCACGTGGACCTAGGAAGACAAGGGCTCCCTTGGTAGCTTCTTTGGGTACTTTAAACGGAAGCTATTTAGGGTTTGGGGCTTCTGGTTTAGGGTTTAGGGTTTAGGGTTTAGGGGTTTAGGGTTTAGGGTTTAGAGTTAGGGCACGCAAGAAAGAAGGCCGCACACAGGGAGATGCAGTATAGGACAGGAGTTTAGAGGTCTTGGGGCAGAGTTACCTAAACCCTGAACCCCGAAACCAATGAGGAAGCTTCATCCAGAAACTGCCGAAATCAACTTCGGCTCCCAACCACGGCGTTTTACAGGGTCCCTTGAAATAGCGTACCCGAACTAAAAGCTCCAAAGACGGTAACCGCGAAGCCCGCAAACCCAAGCCGGTTGGTGAATTCCGAATGTCCATAGGCGATCATAAACCGTAGATCGTCAAGCCTAGTGTCCGAAGGATCCCAAACAAGGGACACCCTGCCCCAAGCCAGCATGAATCTATAATACCCGAACAAGCCCTAAGAACAAAACCCTAGACCCAGGAGTAACCTAGGAATAACTGGGTCCTAGTACCTATGAGAAGTATTCCGTTGCATTGCCTCAGGGTCTGGCCTTTGGAGAAGGGGGCCTTCAGTTCAAGGTTTCAGCACATTAACCTTGGGATGTTCCCCATACTAACAGTCCTTACTGGATGAGAGTATAAGGGGGAACATCCCAACCCTAAACCCTAAACCCTAAACCCTCAACCCTAAACCCTCAACCCTAAACCCTAAACCCTAAACATCAACCCTACAAACCCTAAAACCCTAAACCCTCACCCCAAACTACGAGTATAAGGGGGAACATGAACCCCAAGTTCCACACACCCTAAACCCTAAACCCTAAACCCTAAACCCTAAACCCTAAACCCTAAACCCTAAACCCTAAACCCTAAACCCTAAACCCTAAACCCTCACACAAAGTCCCGCCTTCAGGGGCGGCGCGAAGCCTCGGTCGTCTGCGAAACTTTTGGGGTCCAAGTTCATCCCCGCAGAGGGTAGGGCTTCGGGGTTTGGGGTTTAGGGTTTAGGGTTTAGGGTTTAGGGTTTAGGGGTTCGGGTTTAGGGTTTAGGGGGGCTACCGAACGTTCCCTCCTCCTGGACGCTTAGGGGGCCTTCATGGGTTCCCTTACGACCCCCCTCTAGACGCCCCCCCCCCCCCCCCCCCCCCCTTCCCCCCCAAATTGCCCCCATAGTTAAGGCATTTTAGGGATAAAGACTAATTAAGGCTTACTTCAGTTAAGGGGGGTACCTAGGGGGAGCGGGAGGGGTAGGATAGAGGGGGGGCAGTACGGAAACCCATGATACACCTGTGGCGCGGGCCCCTAGTAGCCCCATTTTGCTGCTGTTTTCACTTAAGCTCAACAAGGGACATACACGCCCGGGTCCTACAGGAACTTAGCTACACGCCCCTGTAAGCCCCTGCAACCCTAAACCCTAAACTCTAAACCCTAAACCGTTGAAAAGCAAGCCTCTCATATAGAAGGGAAACTATTCCACCTGAAACTGTCCCAGGGACACCTCGCACGCCCAAACCTGAAAGCCCCACAAAGCCCGAAAAGGTTTAGGGTTTAGGGTTAGGGTTTAGGGCTTAGGGTTTAGGGCTTAGGGCTTAGGGTTAGGGTTAAGGGTTAGGGTTTAGGGTTTAGGGTTTAGGGCTTAGGGCTTAGGGCTTAGGGCTTAGGGCTCAGGGCTCAGGGCTTAGGGCTTAGGGCTTAGGGTTTAGGGTTTAGGGTTTAGGGCTTAGGGCTTAGGGCTTAGGGCTTAGGGCTTAGGGCTTAGGGTTTAGGGTTTAGGGTTTAGGGTTTAGGGTTTACGGTTTAGGGTTTAGGGTTTAGGGTAACCTGGCTCAAACCTTTCTCTTCCTGAATCGCGCGCATGTCTGGGACGATGGACGGAATCGTGTTCCCGGAGGGACACAGCGCCAGGCCATTCGGAGTGAATCGTTTTCATACTCCCACCCTAAGCCCCAAACCCTAAACCCTAAACCCTAAACCCTAAACCCTAAACCCTAAACCGTTTTAGTGCATGTGCAAGGAGTTGCGCCAAGGGTTTCCAGCAGAGGTTGGAAAAGAATGCTGCCAAACTCCAAAAATTGCAGTTTCTCGGCTGGGGCGCCCTAAACTCCTAAACCCTAAACCCTAAACCCTAAACCCTAAACCCAAGGTTTTTGGGGAAAAGAAGGCCGAAACTTCGTAAATGCACTCTAGGGGTTGTACCTTGGATGCTTAAGTCGTTTAGGGTTTAGGGTTTAAGGTTTAGGACCTGTTGTAAAGATCCTTCAGGCAGTTTAAGGGCCATATTGGGAGTATTATCAAGGGGAACCTTTACGAGTCCTCATCCCTTGATAGACCCGAGCCCGAAACCATGATTTCTAAGTGCAGGTTGATGCCAAGGTCCTTCAGGGAAATGATGTAGGTTTCCTATGGGAGGGTTTAGGGTTTAGGGTTTAGGGCTTAGGGTTTCGGGTTGAGGGTTAGGGGTCATGCTGGAACTAGGTACTTAAGGCCCTTTTCACGAGTGCGCCCGGCGCCTTTGACTCTCTCCATGAGGCAGATCCTTTAGCCAACTGGTGGTCAAGCACGGCGTAGCACTACAGTTTAGGGTTTAGGGTTTAGGGTGTACCAGGAGGGGCCCCCATTACTAAACTAGCTGTAGTAAAGGGACTTAGAACCTAAGCTAGGAACCTCATAACCCAATTTAAGGTCCTTGTAACACATAACTACGGGGCCCCTCCTCTTGCAGGGTTTGTGACCCCTGTGAAGGTGTAGAGTTAAGGGTCGAAGGCCCTAAAACCCTAGGCCCTAACCCCTAAATACCCTAAGTACCCTAAATACCCTGAATACCCTCAATACCCCAAATACCCCAAATACCCTGAATTCCCTAGATACCCTCAATACCCTCAATGCCCTCAATACCCTCAATACCCTCAATACCCCCAATACCCTCCATGCCCTCAATACCCTCAATGCGAAACGTAGGGGCTTCACGGCACGAAGGGAGGCGCCCAGTGGCTTGAGCAGGTTGACTCAAAGTCTGCAGTGTGAAACGAATCAATCAAATCAATCGAGAGTCATGGGCATGGGAAAATAAGAGAGCCCCCCACTCTGTGCCAATTCCGCCAAGAAGCCTCTATAATTAGGATCCAGAGGAGTCGAAGTTAAGACCATGTTCCGAGCTCTCACCGAAGCCTTCCCCCCAAAACCGCAACTGAACCCCTTAACCCTAAACCCTACACCCTAAACCCTACAATCCCTACAACCGACTGAGTGGGGGGCCCGCCCCCTCACGCTGAGGGACTGTCCGGTCATCCCCGCTCGTGGCTAAGGGAAGTGACTCCGGGCAAATTGTTGAGCGCCGCGCGCAAGAATCGATGCCATGAGAGGTGGGATCCTCTCAAAGGTCTTGGTTTTGGGGGGGCATGGTAGCTGCTTGAAATAAGGTGCTCCCAACCCTAAACCCTAAAACCCCAAACCCTAAACCCCAAACCCCAAACCCCAAACCCTAAACCCTAAACGCGAAGAAGCGCTTCTGCAGGCTGGCCCTAAGAAGCGCTTCTTCGCCTGCGGCGCATGGCGCTGCTTAGGAGAACTCCTGCATGCTCGAGCCGGGTCCATTCCTGATGTAGGGAATCAGGGGGGGGGGGGGGG